AGAAACAGGACTACACTGAAAAACAGGCCAAGCTCCAACATCTAGAAACAAAGGTGTTGATTAGTTCAAAGGAAGGATGTCGAAACCTAAAGGAAAACCAAGAAGGTTTCCGGATGGAGTCGGAGGACATGAAGGTAGCTGGTGTGACAGAAACAGATAAACTCAGCTGGGTTCGATTTAGGCAGATAGCAACTCCTGTTAGGTTGGAGGCAGACGGGTTTTATCAGCGCCTCTAAAGAGAAAAAGGTCTAAAACAAACAGAATAAACTGCGTGACAAATAACCGTAAAAGTTAGAAACTGTTCTGTGGTCATATCTTCTCTGCCTGGGGTCATTATGCAATGTTTTTTTTTTTCCCAGCCTGTGGAGAGTGTTACAGAGGACAGAAAGAGAGGAAAAAACGAGAAGGTGAAGAAGTGTATCCGCATCGCTGCAGGGTCGACCTGGGAGGACCCCAGTCTGTTGGAGTGGGAGCCAGGTAATAAAACCTGCTGCTGGTTCAAAGCTACCACTGTGATTTTATTTACATTTCTATCTGCATCAACCACAAGCAGCTAATATGGACGCGTCTCTAGAACAGGTTCAAGTTAAACAAGGAAATAAAGGGAGTTTCTTTATTGATCAGATTTGTTATTTATTAAAATGATAGTTTTCCTTGTTACGCATAAAGTTCAGCTAATGAACCAGTGAGGAACATTAGTCAGGGAAGTTCCTCAACATTTATGGTAGTGATGACACCTGAGGCTGCACACAGTCGCCCTCCTTTAAACCAATCTTATCCTCATGGCCTTGAATGCACGGTCCGTCCAGACTCCATCTTTGTGGGTCTTTAAAGCAAAAGTCTGGTCATTATTTATAGCTAAAACTAATCTTTGCTGTAATTGAATGAATTTCTAATGAAGACCTTGATCAGGGGTGATGATCCGAATGTTTCTGAGTTCTGGTTTCTACCTTCTGCTGCTGATCCTGTTCTGTTGCAGATGATTTCCGTATATTCTGTGGCGATCTTGGGAATGAGGTCAACGATGACATCCTGGCTCGAGCCTTCAGCAGATACCCATCATTCCTCAAAGCAAAGGTAGGATTTTTATTTATACATTCACATTATCTTCTAGAACAAATGTGATGAGGCTATAGAAAGTTGTGATTTCACTTCACAGCAGATCTCACCTCCTGATCTGATCTGTGTGAATGAATGTCTGAATTCAAGGCAAAAGCCAGGGACTATAAATATAGAACTAGATAAACCAGATGGGACAAAGGTGAAATAGCTCCTAAGCAAAGGTTTAATGTTATGTTTAATGTGAAGTGTTTATGAACATTGTGAATGTAAATAACTGTGAAAAATACTAATAAACACTTAAATGTTAAATAAAAGGAATGCATTGATTGTCGTCCTCAGGTGGTGAGGGATAAACGGACTGGAAAAACAAAAGGCTACGGCTTTGTCAGCTTCAAAGATCCAAATGACTACGTTAGAGCCATGAGAGAAATGAACGGTCAGTCTCCATCACTACAGCAGTTTGTTCCTGATTCATTTCCAGGACACGCTTCGCTGCTTATGCCACATTTTTTATATGAAGTCAGGATGTGATTCTCCAAACCTCCTCTTGTTCTTCCAGGGAAATACGTCGGGAGTCGACCGATCAAACTGAGGAAAAGTATGTGGAAAGACAGGAATATTGAAGTGGTCCGCAAGAAACAGAAAGAGAAGAAGAAGCTTGGCCTCAGATAATGTTTAAGCTCCTGGAGGCGCGTTTATGTTGGAATGACTGACCTTATGAGTGCTAATGCCATCTCAGCTCCGGGGGAGAACTGTGGTGTAAATAAAGGTTTGGATAAATCAAAGCTCTGCGTCGGTTCTCATAAGGATAGCAGCTCCTGCTAGTGACTGTTTATAGATATGTTCCCTCATCCTGTGTGGAAATCCGCTCATCTGCACCCTTTATGTCAGATTAACTGGTTGTTTTAAACTCTCAAATAAAACGGTATTGTCGTCACTGTGTGTCTTTATTCTAGTGTGCTGCACGCCTGCATCAGTGTCCAGGTTTGGCTAAATTAGCTCATGGTTTCATAACGCAGAAGAAAAAGCTGGAAAAAATGTACTCGATTTTTATTGTTCAATAAATCTGTTCTTCCTTCAGTTAAAAATAGATATATTCAAAACTCTTAAGCCTGAAAGTAGAAGACAGCCGAAGGCAAACTGATTTTATGAACAAAAATAAAGGGAAACCTAAAAGAGAAGGATCCAATTTAAGTAAAAAAAGAAAATAGACCTGAACGAATGCCTGACGTTGAGGGAGGATACTTCCTCTCACAAAACGTCTCACAATCGCAGTAGTCTGGCTTTAGGATGGCAGCTTTATCCATAAACATTTTCATGTTACAACCCAGCTCAGCTAGGGGGAAGTAACATTTAAAGACCAGATGTAATTCAGTTGATAATTTCAATGTGTTTTTGTCAGTTTACTTCAGAACAAATTGGGAAAAGGGAAGTAAAGGAGTCGAAAAATACAATCCAACAAAATCCAAAGCTTAATCTAAGGTTCTTGAAACTCCAAATGAAACTCCAATGACCCAAGGCCACGAAGTCCCGGTAAAGCAGACACAATCAGCACTTAGATAAACATCAGGAGGAACTCTGAACAAAACAGTTGAACCGAATAACACAACCAACATTAAGGGGTTTACATTGTAAATTTACAGCTATAGAAACTATAGAGCCCCGAGGAGCAGCTCTCCTTTGATTGGTCGGACAATCAGACCATTATCCAATCCAGATGAGTCTTGCAACAGGAAAGAAAATGCAGGAAATAGGAAATGACAGGAGGACTGCAAGTTCCCTTAGTGGTTCAAAGTGGACCGCTCTCGCCTATAGGGGCTGATGAGATTTAGGGGCGCCATCTTGGGGCGGTCGACTGCTCTGCTCAGTGTAATGTGTTGGCCAGGCACAGAATCAATTTTAGTTAACTAAAACTCGCTGAATATTGAACTAATTTTCACATTGTTTTTTTTCTGAAAACTTTAGAACTATAGTTATACCAAATGGTTCAGTGCATTTAAATATTCTTAATGTGGTTAAAAGTAATATAATATTCAGACAGGATGTAGGTATGTTGCAAATAACAGCCACTCATACATTTTAACCTTTTTTTTACTACCATATACAAACACATATTTGTACGCAAACATATATACACACATACACACACACACACACACACACATATATATATATATATATATATATATATAT